CCCGCACCCGCGGGCAGTGCCTTGTCAGTACCTCCCGCGTCACTTGCCCAAGGAGACATGGGGAGAGCGAATTTTCTGCTGCTGTAACCTGATTTTACATTAACTTTTAATTCAAGATAATCTAATAAACGTTAACCATTTGGAAGGAAGGAGATGTCTTTTCATTTGGCTCAGGAAATTAAGGGGCGAAAGTTCTGGGTTAAAGCCATTAAAATTATAAACAAAAACATATCAAATAAAAATAAAAATACTATCTAGTTTATTTACATAAACAATAGAGTTAATTTAAATATAAGTATTATTACATATCATCCTATAGAATTATTAGATTATAATCCTATAGATCAATATATAGGATTTTCCCCATGTAGTTATTTTATTTGCTAGGCATTTAACTTTTAGTTTTGATTCCACTCTTAGAAGCCAGGAGTAAGTAATGTTTGCCATAGGCAAGAAAGGATGTTTCCAGAGGAGCAGGGAGAAGGAGCGGGTTGCAGGAATTCTCCCTTTGCTGTGCACTGAGCCCTGTTGCAATGAGCAGATGTTTCCCTGCTGACTCCAGTGGTCAGGCCCCGTGGGAGCAGCTGATGCTGCATGCTAAAACTCCTCTCATTTCCTTCCCCACCTAGGAGTGGCTGGGTTAGGAGCAGTAGTATTATAATGATTATATGTACATGCAAAAAACCAAATATATATATAGCAAACTGATGTAATAGTGTAATTTCCCCCCTTTTTCTACTAGTGAGGAGTGAATGTTACCCTTTGATAAACCCCTTCTGGCACGAGAATGCGAACATCACCGAGTCACACAGACAGCTTTTGTGTGAGTAGCTTTTATATAATTTTATATTTCCATCCATCCTCCCCTCCCTCCCTGGCCACTTACATGGACTCATTTGTGATTCAGAGGGGGAATTCACTGGGAAAGTGTTTTGACTCTGCTTCTGTACAATATCTGTCACTGTCTGTGGTCTTTAAGTGTGTTTACTGCTGAAATAACCATCTATTTGGTGACAAGTTCAGCTAATTTCTGCCACAGGAGCTAAACCTCTGACTGGAATGGCACAGGAAGGTACGCAATTGCTAAAAATAAAAGGCAAAAAGTGTTCACAATCACCTCAAAGGAGTCTGATCACTGAAAATGCTTAAAAACACATTTAAACTAATCTTTAACACAGCTACTTTTCTAGCATTTCAGTGGGGTTCATGGCACTGATGAAAGACTTAAGTATGGGAGAATTTAAGAAAATAAATCAATGACCAAAAGCAGTGTTCAAAGTCTTTGAAGAACATCGTGTTCAAAAACATTAGGCTTCTAATATATTTTCCTCTTTTTCTTTAGATTCATTTGTCAATGCCAGAATGTTTTCGAAAAGTCCAAACTGAACATTTTCAAAAACTTACAGAAGATGATTTACCATCTTTGCATCATGTATTTGGCACAATCCTTTCCTCACACACCCTTGTGTATGGGCTTGCTATTTACAATTTTTTTTTATTTACTCACTTCTCCCTGACTCTGCAGAATACATCCACTTGTATTTTGTTTCTTAAAACGGAACTCTTGTCCTCAAAACCAGCCATTCCCTGGGTTCCGGAGAGGCTTAAAGGGTTTTTAAATTTTAAAGTTTTTTGGAGCAGCAGCTGCAGGTGCAGCGCCCAGAGGAGGTGCTGGGGCTGTGTCACAGCTGGCCTGGGAAGGTCAGAACCCAGTGAGCTCCTGAAGCAGCCAAACAAACACAGCAGCAGGGTCAGGAGTGACAGCCCAGCATTTAAACACATCAGCAGGGTCAGGACTTGCAGCCCAGCATGTCTCTCTGTGCTCTCAAATAGGAAGGGCCAATTTTTTAATCTTCCATGCCCAAAGCAGAGGGCTGTAGCTGCTCAATGGCTCTGAAATCAGGGCAGTGATGGCTGGATCACTCGAGCCTGTGAGGGGTCAGCATTAACTGAGCCTCCCTGATCATGTTTTAAGTATCAACACCTCCACTGTTATGTTGGTCCAACATTTCAGGATGAAACCATTTGCTTTTCAAAAGCTGTGTGCATATTTGCAAAAGGTTATTTTTCTCAGGTGAGAGATTGCAGCTCTTCAGTTAAATAGCAAAACAAACCCAAAAAGCAGTGCTCTTTTGGTTATACAAATGATGTTGGCTTGGAAACAAAGGATGGCTCTTTGTGAGTCATGAAGTGTAAGAAAATAGTGGATGTGAATAAAAATTGTATTAATGATGATGTTTACAGACTCTTTGGGGCCTTGGAGAATTTTTTTCTCTCGCTTTCACATCAAGTACTATTTTTATGCTCCTGGAAAAACACTTCTGGACTGCAAAGACACTTGCATATTTTATTATAAACAGGCATAGTCTGCCTAAAAGTGATGAGAGAATGAATCAAAGATACTTCAATTGAAAGAACCTGCTAGGTTTGATTGGAATGTTCTACTGAGTTAACTTTTTGATTATTTTGCTCAGCTTCAATGCAGTTTCAGTGTGATGAGGCTACAGATCCTCAGCAATAGCAGCTGAACATAGAAAGGACCACGTCAGTGTTTCTTTCTTCTATGAAATACAGATATTTCTAGACATCTAGATTCATCAGGTCCTGAGATAGTACCTTCTACATCAGCTTCACTCTTCTCTCTTAAATGTTTCTGACTGTGGCCACTGAATCATATTTAGGCAGATCATGGCAAAGCATCTTTATCTACAACACATTTTAACAAGAATTTTGGAGGGAAATCCTGTGATCATGGATTGCAGTGTAGTTACAGCAGTTTCTTCATCAGCTCCAATATGTGGCAAACAAGCTAATTGCACAGCTTTAATTGGTTACTTCACAAAAAAGACATTTTTCTCTCTGTGTGCCTGTGAAGGTGTCTGTGAGGCACAGTCACATGGGATTAATCTCATTCCATCTAGCTGTGCACTCATATTTCTCACTGTTTGATTGGTACTGAATTTCATGAGCTCTGGCAACATCAAACCTGTTTCCTTCTGGTTATTCCTAAAAAGACTTTAAAGGACTGTCTCCTAAAGTAGGCACTTAAATCACACATTGGTCACATCCCTCACTCTCCAGAGTCTGAATGCTCTTCCTGGCATGAATGAACAAGACACAAGTGCAAAGAGATTGGAGAAAGTCTGTGTGTGAGTGCAAAGAGCTGGGACTAAGTGGAAACAGAAGTGCTGGCCACTGCCAGAAGACAAACCCTTCATTAGAGAATGAAAAGCCTCCATGGACCCTTCCTCCACATTTCCAATATCTCCCCTATTCATCCCAGCAGATTCCTTTTAGGCTTATTGTGTACTTCAAATTGAGCTCCTGGCAAATTAAAATAATTGGGTGCATGAGTTAAACCCCTGTGCTAGCAGTAATATTTCCCAGGCAATCAACCCAGGGCTGGCTGAGCCTGGGACTGTGGTGTATTTTCACATCACAGGAGTGCCCTCGAGCTGCTCCTCTGATGGATTGGACACAAACACTCTCTCCTCTTCATTAGCCTTCCCTTTCTTCTCTTACCACCCCCCAGCTGAACATGCAGTGTATACCCTCCCTCCCCTCAAACCCACAATGGATAAATATTTCCCTATTACAGATTACACCATGGCCTGGTTATTTGTTTAAAACATCAGGCACTGTCTAAAGAAAAATACCACTCTACTGCCTGCTACTAACTTTTCTGAAAGCTCTGCATTAATAAAATTATTTTTCACTGGAGATGTACACTTTCCTCTGGCCAAAACAGGAATAAGATGAAACTATCACTTTCTGTAATTTAGACAGTTATCAGAGTGTCTTGGTGACTACTAGGATTAAAGATAGCCCTCTGAAAATTCCCCTTAGAATTTAAATTTGTTAGCAAAGACACCTCTGTTATTTTGCCTTGCCATGTGTTCTCCTGTGCCAGCAAGAGCAAAATTTTTCATGGTGAGCTGAATCCATCTCTCTCTACATGACAAAATAAGGATGTCACTGACTTCAAAGGCAGCTGCATTGAGCTCTGAGCAGCTTCACCATTTTCCAGTAGCAGAAATGTAACATCCAAAATCAGATCTAGATGTTGAGGATCACACACAGAATAGAAGGAATGGCACTGCTTAATCAGCTGAAACCTTTTCCCCAAGAGTTTGAGCTTTCAAAAATAATTTATTAAAAGAAAAGAAAAACCCAAACAAGAAACCTCAACTTGTTACACTGGTGAAAAGTTGCTCTTAGACATTTTTGTCACATAAATATTTTCCATTTACCAAAGTCTATGTTGTTAATAATAAATAAATGCCAGTACAGATTTAGCTGAAGGCAGCACCAGTGTAATCCTTGCAAAATATGGTAAATATTTCTATTCAAAACCAGAAAATTTCTCTTGAATCTCAGTTTTGCACTTGAGCTGCTGCACGGTCCCACCAGCACTGCAGAGCTGGGGCTGGAGTTATAAAAAATAATGTGAGAGGAACAGCTGTTCTTTCTTACTGTCTGTGTGACACACAAAACTTCTGCATTAGGCACCTACAAGGTAAGATTTAACCTCTGACAATCCTGATTTTTTATCAGAGATTTGAACAACATGGCCAGTGACTGATTTCCTTTTACAGGTCCATTTTTAGTACTCTCCTCTATTCCTGACCCATCCAGAAATGAGTATTTAATGAATGTGGTTTCCACTCATATTGTTTTTCTGTTCTAAAATCAAGGCAGGAGCGTGCAGCTGCCCATGCAAAACTGCCTAAAGTGTTCTCCCAGAGTATTTTTATTTTTTCTGTTTTAGACATGAATGTAACTGGAAGCATGAGGCTGCACTCAGGTTCGTGCTTCCTGCAGGGAAATGATCTTTGCAGCAGAGGCAGCTCTGATGCCTCAGTTGTTTTAATGGAACAGCTGCCTTGGTTTCTTTCTCAACAAAATGGGTTTAATAGCAGAGATAAACTTGTCTGGATTTCCTCACAGCATGTGGACCCTGTAACAGTCATGCACCAGCTGCTTTCACACTTCACCCTGCTCCAGATTTACTGAGTTGCAGTTTATAATGTTGGAAAGAATGCTCTATTCTTTGGACACTGTGGCTTTTTTTTTCCTGTCGGATTTACAGCTCTTTGCAAATTTTCTTTTGGTTTTAAGCTACCAGAGTGAAACAGCTGGGGCTGGAGCAAGAGCCATTTCAGAGGCCAGGTGAAATGAGACCCAGATGATGCACACAGAAATTCTGGTTTAATTGGTGTGGTAGGTGTGTACCTGTTTCTGAGCAACAGTGCACTGTTCCTTCAGAGAGGGGCAGAGGACATCTGCTTCAGTACTTACTGCAGCTATAACAGTAAATATATACAGAAATCTGAGATAACTGCAGCTGAGGCCTAACCAGTGACAAATTCTGATGAATATTCTCATTTTCAGATTCATTGGTACCCCAGCAGCAGAATGTGAGCCATGGTGCATTGCTCACATCCATCATTCCACCCATTCCTGCTCCTGCAGGTTTTGTCAGTGCCACCTGCTCCAGCTCTAGCAGCATTTTATTTCTGCTGCCTGCAATTGGTTTTCCCGTTCAGCTCAGAGATTTTTTGAGAAAAGCAGGAAGCCAAAACATGTAACACACAGACCAGAGCCTGGCTAATCATCCTGGAGGCCCCTAACTCTTGAGCAATCCTCCTCCATCACCTTTTCTCTGTTAAACAGGAAGGGATCCTTCCTGACCCTGTGACCCAAGCCAAGAAGTATCACATTTAGCCACAGACAAGTTCTTTCAGTTGTTCGTTGGTTTCCTAACTTGTTTCCTTGCTTTTTCCTAGCAAGCAGGTCAGGCTTTCTCTGTGCACTTTTTCTTCCTGGCTTTGCCAAGTCCTTCTGGAGCAGCCCCATTGTTTTTAGCAACTTCCATGAGCCTGTTTCAGCTGGAGGCTTTTGTCTTCCTAACTGGCTCTTTAGTTACTGCTGGGTAACACAAACAGGCCCTTAATTAAGCTCTTCTGAGCCACTGCCATTTGGAGTATTTCTGATGAGGTGATATTACAGATTTCTAGGCACTATTTGCTATTATAAGCTGTGCAAACAAATCCAAAGTTAGTTTGAAGCAATTAAGCTGCAGGATGTTAACAGGAGATGATTAACAAAACTGCTGGGCTTGCATTTGGTTACTTCTGACCCTCTCAGTGTTTCTATTTCATTCCACAGATTTTCCTCACAAACAACTCCTCAACAACTGTGTTGGGTGGTAATTTAGAGATGCCTGCCAAATTCTCAGTTCTGGACACACACTGCAGATGTCATTCTTGCAGATATTTGGCCAGAGCTCTAGTCAAAGAGCCTTGGCTGGCTAATGTAAAACTTCAGTAACCATGATTAAGCAATTTGATTCTTTTTTGCTTCAAAAAAAGAGAGCGTTTCTTAAAAGTTTATGAGTTTGTTTTGGTATTTCCAAGATTAAACCATTGGATCTTTCATGTTGGGCTAACAGGGGACTCAGGTGTTGAGAAATAGGTGTGGGAAACTGAATTCTGTTTTACAAGAAAGTGCACATGCCTCTTCTTGTCTAAAATGCTTAGGGTGGGTTTTTTTTCCCAATACTAGAGTAATTTCATCAATATGAAGACACTTATATGTTTAATACATAATGCATCAATGTGTATTTCAACAGAAATTTAAAAAGCACTAAAATGATGGTAAAATGAATGTTTTAACTTCTTTCACAGATGATTATTGAAGACAGAAACACAGTAAAGATATTTTAAGTCATTTTCTTCTATAAACTAATTCTGTTCCTCTAATCAAGGGATATAATGGCATAATATCATATGCCAGATGGCATGAATTCAGATTCCTGAGTGGTTTCCATGGCAGCATTTTAGAATAAGTTTCCCAGGCAGTTTCAGATTTCATTGTACAAATGAGTAGTAGATATTGAACTAGAACACTGGAGATTATAAAAGTACTATTTAAGCAAATAGAGTTCACTAAATATTTGATTTCTAAAAAGCTGCCAGTGATTAATGAGGAGTTTGATTCCAGCTGTGGGTAGGAAAAGTAAGGCTCTGTCACTCTGTCACAGTGAGGTTTGTGGGTTTCAGCTGAGCTATCCCTAAACCCTATATTTTCACTGAAGAAGGCACAAAAATCACAAAAATTTATTCTGATATTGCAACTGTCACGATGATTAATGTAATCTAGGAAGCTCCCAAGGATGGTCTGGTATGGTTTTCCCTTTCCTTTCCTTCACAAAGTTCCATTCAGAGTGTGTTTTCCTCACCCATGTGTGTCCTGGCTCAGCTTGCAGCAGCTGGAATCACACCATGACAGGAAAAGTCAAAGAAATGGCAAATTAGTGCTGCTGTCCTGAGGTGGGGTTTGTCAGCAGGGACTTGGGCTGGTGAGGGAAATCACAAGGCAGAGAGCCAGCCATGAACTTTTGGTTGTGTTTGTTCTCTCTCAGCAAGGCCAGCTCTGAGGACAGACTTGCACCACTCTTACATCCATACTTTCCAAATGTTAATTACATCCTCCAAATGCTTTTTCACCTTTCACTGCAAGACCAAAGCTAAGGTGACACATGGATGTCAGAATGGTGGGGAATAATCAAAAATGAGACCAAATAACCCTCAGCAAGCTCAGATGTGGCTGAAGAGCACACTCCTGTTGCTGCAGCCTCTGGAATAGGAGAACTGATTTGGGTGCCCAATCTCTGCTCTGTCACACTGTGTCTCATCATATCCCCAACCACCTTGAGCCACATGAAACTCCTGAGCTAAGTTCCATGGCTATTTCTCTAAGTTCCATGGCTATTTCTCTAAGTTCCATGGCTATTTCTCTATTTTCTAAGTTCCATGGCTATTTCACTATTCTCTAAGTTCCATGGCTATTTCACATTTGGAGTCCAGCTAAGGTTTGCAGGCAGTTTTGACATGCTGCTTGTTCCCAGTGAGCTGAAGACTGATCTGGCTGTTAGCACTGAGAATTGTTTTAGATGTTTGTTGGCCAGGAACAGCAGCCATGGCCAGTTTTGCTGAAGGAGGGCCCAGGGAGTGTCCTCAGCTTCAGAATCAAAGAGGGGAAGTGCTCTCATCACTGCAGAATGTTGAATTCATGGTTTCTGAGCATCAGCTGGTCCTGATATGGTCAGCATATGTGGCACTGAATACGAAAATATAATACCAGAAGCAGAAAAACACCCCAAAAAATTGTTACCTCCCAAAACTTTGTCATTTTGCAACAATTTCTTAGCCTTTTTTTTTGTTAGCATGTCCTGTGCTACACAAAACAATGTCTGGAAGGCACATTCTACTCAAGTACAAACATCAGCAGTGCCTTGATGCCATGCAGACCCTTCCTAACCTTCCAGGCTTCTGGAACTGAACAGAGACATGCACGCAGTTGTGTCTGATCTTTGTAAAGCTGCTGTAGAGGATGAGCTGGATCCTCAGCCAGGGGCAGATGCAGCAGCTCCAATTCCATGGGCAGTCACAGTGACTTGAAAAAATTGATCATTTGATCACACACCAACTGTGAGCTCCTAAGTGATTCCTTTTCCTAAGCTAATGGTGTATTGTTCCTCTGAAATTAAATGAGACAATGAAGCCTAGACATCGTCAGAATATGGATTTTATATTTTCTTTTCCCAGATACTCTGCACTTTACTCTCAGATACTCTGTACTTTACCAACAAATGATACTGGAATTACTTTTTTTTTTGGTTGTTATGCTAAACTAAGGTTGGGTTGAAGGTTGTGGATAGATTATATCAGAGAGAACAATGACACAATAGTGGTTTATGATGGAAAAAACCAGGGTGATATGAAAAAATACATAGCAACCCTCTGTTTACACAGCTATTAAAATGTTATAGGGATCAAGAAAGACTAATGTAGAACATTTAGCATGGGAGGAAGCAAGCAGGATAGGTTAATGCACTTAGTGAAGCTGCTGCAGAAAACTGACAGACAGAATCAGAGCTGGATGGGAAAATTTCCCTCTAGCTGATGGTCAGCTGCAACAAAGGAAAAGGTCAGCAATCTGCTACATCAGTGCAGCAGAGGACACGTGACAGCAGAGAAAGCTTTAATCAAAGCATGGCTGGATCTCACCTCCCACACAGAACAGTGTTTTTCACATAACAGGGCTGCTTTCCATTAGGGTTGCCAGTGCCTACCTGGGTGCATCACCTGATATCAGCTGGCTCAAGAGCTGAGGACAGTTTGATTGCTCATATGTGTCTGTGTAGACAAATCCTCTGTATCTGTGGTCTCTGTTTGAAGCACAGGCTGTGACCCTGTGAGGGTTTGTTCTGCCTGTCACCTTTTCCTCCATACCATATGTTTGTCCTGCTGATTTACACTGAAAACCAAGGCCTTGTCCAATTTCATGTTTGTGCAGCACAGAATGAGGCTGTGATCCTGATCAAAGGGGCTCTGCACTTAATGATTATTGGTACACCCACTGACACCATAATAAAATACTACAATATTAACATTCTTCATTTTTCTCCAGACATGCATGGAACATTTGTCATCCTGATGCCCCTCAGCCTGATACTGATGATTTTTGGAGGAATGACTGGATTCATCAGTATTCTTGCCAGGGCCTACCTGCTGCTCCTAATGACTGGACTGCTTTTCCTTTTTGGAGGTACTAAATCAAACTCCTGGCCTAACTCTTTAAGATAACAAGAGGTGGTATCTGGGAAACATCACTTTGTTTCCCAGGGAATGAAAGCAAGAATTTTGCTTTCAGAATAATGCTGGTGTTCATTCCCCTGGTGTCTGCTGGGGTCCTGGCTCTGGAATGGAGCTACAGAGGAAAGGCAAATATCCCTCCTTGGGGAGTGAGTCACCCTTTGAACAATCCATGTGTGCTGTGCCCATTAACACCAAAGGTTCAATAACTTCTCAGCATGGTGCACAAATCCTTTACAGGCAGGCTAATGGGGTGATGGAAAAGTAACCATGGAATTACTAAATCTTAGGGTTGCACATATTTGGCAGCTGTTAAGAAAACTGATGTTTTTAAAAAGGCATTTGCATTGAGTTCCTGAAAAGGGACTTTTTAGGCATGTTTTAGAAAGTAATTTATGCATTAAAAAATCTAAAAACATTCTGACAAAGTAGGAAAACAGGAAAACTGTGTTTAAATCTGCATCTTCTCTTCCAAACAGATTTTCAGTGCTGTTTCACAGTGTAACTTAAACCAGAGATTTTTCCTGACAGAAAAGGGGATCCTCAGAATTGGCTCTCATCAATTGCTCATATAGATCTATTTTTAAGAAGAAAATGCTAAGAGATTGCTGGAAGCAAATGCTGCTGTCTCAAAGCCTTGACTGAGCTTTTTAGTCTGAAATGCTCTAACACAGACCAGCCATGCCCCATTGTGATTGTCTCCCAAAAAGAAGAGCAAGTTCTAATTTCAGAACAGCAGAAAGCTGTATTCACTGAAAAGGCTGCTGGAAAACTGCTCCAGATAGATATTCAGTGAAAGATGAAAGGCTGTGAAGTGCCAAGCATGATTATCCCTCTGGGGAGTGGAGCAGGGCCCTTTCTGAGCTGTTTGGGGCTGCAAAGAGGGAAAGGAAACACAGAGGCAGTGCCAGGAGAGGGTGCCTGAGGAGGAGATTCTGCTGCAGGGTCCCAGGAGAACATGGACAGACTCTGGGTGGCCTTTGGCTGGGACCAGCCCCCATCTTGCTCTGCCTGGATGCACAGAACAGTTTTGTAGGACACTCAAATTCACAAAGTTGAGTGTTAGTTAGGCAATTCTGTCTTAGCAGAAAGAGATATTTGGAGATGCCATTCCAAAAATGTGGGGTTTTTTAAACCCTCACAACTGATATGTTCCACATGTCAGGACATCAATAGGTTTCCATTTTTTTTTTTTTTCAAAGGAATTTGCACAGAATTCAGTGCACCTTGTTGAAAATGTCAACAAATCAGTCTTTTCCATTTCTGCTGACAAAAGATATAAAGCAATTTTTTCCCTCTCCTTGCAGAGGACTAGAATAAGGTACAGGCATCAGATGATGGTTGAAATCAGGAATATGAGTATGAATTTGGACTGATGGATAACTCAACACTCTTCTGTCTTGGCTTGCCTCTAATCAAACATATATTTCTGGCAAAAAGGCAGCGCATCAGGACTTACTGTAATTTCATAGCAAAATTTTCTCTCTCTAATCAAATCCACTATTTTGTCCTGAAAGTGTTTCAGTATTTACTTTCCCTGGGCTGCAGTCCTTTCATCCAGGGCCTTGTTACTGCCTCTTCTCTGCTGCTGATCCAGTAAAGGGTGATTTCCATCAGTACCTGTCCTTTGACTGACAGGGATGCCAGGCTCAGGATGCAGTGTGTACCTGTTCCAGATGTGCCATTCCCTACATTTGCCACCTTTTGAACAGTCTTTTCATTCTGAAAACATCTGGCTCCTTGTTTGAGTACCCTTATTAATTTATCTTTAGTCTGTCCCAGAGATGTTTTTGACTCAGGTATTTGGCAGTGATGGGTAGTCATGGCAGCACAACACTTGGTGGAAGGTGATAGTGGAGACCAACAAATTTACATTAAACATTCAAAACTGACAATAGTCAGGGAACAGCCTCAATTCAGTGACCTGAAATGCAAGAATCTGGGTCTCTGTGGGCTTTCTTGCACAGGGAGACAGCTGTCCATGGTGCTCAGCCATGAGGAATCAGGCAACATTACAATCCAGTTCTGAAAGCAGAGCTGCACATGCATTAGGTATCTGTAAAATACATGTTTATTGAGGGAGGCTTGCTGCCAGATGCTGTGGTTCAGTCTTTGACAGTGAGAACACATTTCTCTGTGGACACAGATGACCCTGCCTTTACTTCTCTCTCACCCTCATTGCCCAAGAAACCAACCTCAGCTAGATTTCAAAGATAATCTGTAAATCTGGCCTGGCTAGAATAGGAAGGAATGGCAAAGAGGCCCCAGGACATATCCAATTGATTGTTTTTAATTTCCTCAGTGGCTGCTAAGTAGCTGAACATGTTTCTCCTTTCAGCTCTCGTTACCCTGACAGGGATCAGTGTCTATATTGCATATTCAGCTGCTGCCTTCCAAGAAGCTGTTTGCCTGCTGAGGAGCAAGGATCTCCTGGTGGAAATCGACATCAGGTTTGGCTGGTCCCTGGCTCTGGTGTGGATCTCCTTTGTGGCAGAAGTGCTCACTGGGGCTGTGTTCCTGCTGGCAGCAAGAGTGGTGGGTCTGAAACGGCAGCGGGAGCAGGCTCTGTGAGCAACAGGTGCCTTTGCAGCCACAGAGCCATGCGGAGGCTGAAAATTCAGATTACTTGGTCCATCTGGTCACCAGGGGCAATAAGAGTGCAAGGCTGAGCATCCTGTCAGCTGCTGTAAGCCTTTTTCCTCATGGGTGTCTGTAAAACACAAAGACTGGTAAATCAGTAAAACATTCCAGGTGTTGTCAATTAGGAAACCCTTGTGTCCTTAGAAGAGAGTGCATTGCAGTGTTTGTATTTCCAGAATAATTTCAGCTGGCAGCTCATCAGACATCTCCATTTGTTGCTTAGAACAAGGCAGATCTCTTGCTTTCTTTTCTTCTTTCTGCTGTCTCAGCAAAGTGACCTTGCAGGCCAGATTTTGGTTTCTCCTGAGAGCTCTTAGAAGGACGGGGACCTGTTGGAGTGAGTGCAGAGGGGGCCATGGAGATTCTCAGAGGGCTCAGCCCCTCTGCTCTGGAGATGGACTGACAGAGCTGGGGCTGCTCAGCCTGGAGAAGAAAAGGCTCTGGGGAGACCTTAAAGCCCCTCCCAACACCTAAAGGGGCTCCAGGAGAGCTGGAACGGGACTTTGGGCAGGGGCCTGGTGGTTGGAACTGATATTTCACATCCTTTGCAACCCAAACCATTCCAGAATCCTGCACTCCAGTAGATAGTAGTGCCTGTGATGCTGAAGTTCTCCAGAGCAGTGCAGTGGTGAGCGCACTGCAAGAGGAAGATACAGCTGTTTTCCAGATGTTCTAATGAACTGCTGGGGACAGCCCCAATCTCTCAATGATCAGCCTACATACTTCTCTCCTTCAGCTTTGTCAGCTCTGCAATGCTGGAGATGTATCTAATGTATTTTCCAGTTTTTACTTTGCAGTTTTGATGATGCTTCTTTTTCATGAAGCTTGTGCACATGCTTTATGCTAGAATGTTTATCTTGTGCTGAAACTGCTGAGTAAACTGAACATGCAGGACACATGAATTCCATTTTGGGTGCCAAGCAATCCAGTTTTTCCTCTTCAGTGCCCACTGAAGTTACTGAAGGAAGTTCCCCCTGACTGCTGTGCTGAACAGAGGCTTGAATGTGATAACAGCTCCACTACATTTCTGTTGGATCATGCATTTCTGGAGGCCCTCAGCACTGTGCAGCTCAGGACTGTGACTCAGGAGCTGTCAGGCACCCTCTGTCACTGGGCAAGTCCCTTGTACATTCTCCAGCAGCACAAAGGGCATCATTCACCTACCTCTGTTAAACACCAGAACAATTTTATCAGTGTGTCCTGTGTTTAAGATTGCACTCTGACCAAGCTCAGCTCTAATCTCAGTCCCAAAGTACCAATTCTTTTATGAAAAAATAGACTGGGAGCTCCTGAGAGCTGACAGACTTTGGAGATAGAAGGGAGCATTTTAATGCCATGTTGTGAATGGAAAACTGAGCCAGGAAACTTGTCCAAGGTCACATGAAATCAGAGTTTCTGAATCTTGGGCTAAGACCTTACTTGTCAGATCTTGCTTGTTATTGGAATTAAATAAGGCTCAAAATCCTCAATAGACCGAGCAGTAGAAATTCTGTGACTAACTAGTACAATTTTGTAATCTTAGCTGCTCCCACATTGGTTTCAGGTATTTTCCATGTTGCCTTATGTTGGGACCATGTAATTGAGTCATTTTACAAGTTAAAGCATACCAAATCAGCTCTATAAGAAGTGTAAGAAAAAAAAAATCCTTTGTGGTAAAAATTCCATGTGCTTAAGTGAAATATGTAAAATGTAATTCTCTGTTTTGGTGGTGGTGAAACTATTTATAATGCAATTTGTATGATGTTACTCAGACATTACTGCAAGCTGTAACAGTAAAATATCATCTGAGTTATTTTTGTATATTTATTGCAGATGTTATTTTAAAGTGGTTTTGAACGTTGTAAAATTAAATAAAATGACATCTCAGAGTGGGAATTATTTGCTGAGACGTGAAGGAACTAAGATATTTATTTTCTTTTACCTTTTTCTGCAGATTTATTCTACTGTTTTTATAATGCTTTTGAAGTTCCTGTGTCAGATGTGGTAGGTATTTAAAAGACATTTACACAGCTACAATATAAAATACTCAAGTGATCAAATCTAATTAGCAAGCCAATGAATCTCTTATTGAATTAGAGCAATTCTCATTTCCATGCCTCTCCTAAATTTCTCATTCTGGCTTCCTGCAATATCTGGCACAAGGCTAATAAAAGAGTATCTTCTGCTCCTTAACGTTTGCATAACCCCTGAATTTCTCTGAAATTCCTTCTGAACACAAAGAACAAAAGATGGTTTGGAATAGTCAAATTAGCATTGAACATTTTGAAAAATTATACTGGGAAGAGAAAACATTCTAGAAAGGACTTTATGTAATTTGAAAGAAATGACCTTATCAGCTTCTTCCTCTTGCTTAAATTAATGTTTATTTAAAACCATGTCCTTTGCTGTGTTTTCCCCAAAATACTTTACTGAGATGAGGACAGAGGCTGCTCCCATTGCTCTGTGGTGAATTGCAAACTCATTGGTAATTTGCCACATCAAAAGTGAAGAAAAACAGATATGCAGAGCAGAGCAGCACTGTCAGAGTGCTCACAGCTCCTGCCCTGCACCAGGCACTCCTTTCACTTCTTGAGGGGTGGCAGAGAGGTACAGGGGAGGTCAGAAGAATCCTTGAATATGAAAAATGTGGAAATATACAGGATGTTCAGAGGCCATGATGGTGAATGACACCACAAGGATTCAGTGTCCCTGCAGAGCATCTCTGTGTCCCCACCTCCGATGGCCTGGGGACAGCACTGCTTTGGGCACAGCTGCAGCCAAAGGAGCCCCAGGGATTTGTTATCCACAGCCAATAGCTCCTGTGGGGCTGGCAGGTGCCTGTCACAGGCACACCCTCCTCAGCTGGACAGGGGACACAAAATCTGCTGAGTTTGGCACAAGAAAAGGGCAGGGAGAGGTCACTTGCCAATTACTGTCATGGGCAAAACAGACTCAGCTTGAGGAAATTAGTTTAATTTATTAGCAGTCAGGGTAGGAGAATGAGAAATAAGCTTGAATCTTAAAAACACCTTCTACTCACCCCTCCCTTCTTTCCAGGCTTAACTTTACACAATTCCCTGCCTCTTACCCCTTGAATGGCACAGTGGGACAAAGACTGAGGGTTCAGTCTGCTCACCACGCATTGCTTGTGAAGCATCTTCCTCCTCAGGGAGTGGACTCCTCACACTCTGCCCTGCTCCAGCATGGGGGCCCTCCCAAAGGGTCTTCCATGAACACCTCCAATGTTCTTCCCCTGGGCTGTAGTTCTTCACAAACTGCTCCAGGGTGGGGCTCTTCCAGAGGCTGCAGTCCTTCAGACACATCCTGCTCTAGGTGGGTCACAAGTTCTGCCAGGACCTGCTCCAGCCTGGGCTCCTCTCTCTGTGGGTGCTGCCAGGACC